AAGAGAATGAGAACAATGCGATTGTCCAGAATATGTAAATACAAGTCAAGTAGGACGATTGATGGTTATGAAAAGAGAGAAAACAGATGAAGAAGAAAAGCAGATATTAAGAAAAGAATCAATCATCATTTGTCGATGACGATGTCAAAGTTGACTGATTGACTGTTCAATAACTGAGCTCAATACGGTAGTACATAAACATATAAAAGGATTGTTGTTGTTACTGCTCTTACTACTACTAGTATAGTTCTGTTTAATGGACTGCGAACGGGATATGATGTGTGATGCAATTCTTTTCTGACGACTTAATTATCGACATAAGATCGGGTCGAACAGATGAAACGGAAGAAAAGAAACGAGTAAGAGAAAAATAGCCTGATTGTGTGTGTGTGTGTGTGTGTGTGTGTAACTAGAAATTTGAAAGTTTCTTCAAGGTTTCGATTTTTCTTTAATTTAAAGATTACTGCTATAACAAATTGATTGTCTGTCCACCCATCTTATATTATGTCAATTGTGATTAAGAATGACATTTTTATATTTGTTCATGAATAGCATACTTTTTTTTTTGTGTTTTATATGTCCTTGCGTGCGTGTGAACTCTCCAATTCAATCACTATCAGTTCTTGTCGTATGCATTTGTGCGTACTTTAACACGCACTTCGTACATTGATATACATCTTAGAATTTTTTTTCTCGTTTCCTATATGAACACACATATACATACAATTACACAGAAACTTTAACTATACTATATATATATATATATATATTTTTTTTTATTCTCTAACTACATAATCTGACACAAGAGCATTGTGTCACCACTATTTCCTTTTTTAGTTTATTGAATGGATGCTAGTCATAGTAGTTGTTAATTGGAAGTAGACCACTGATTTGACCCTTCCCGTCTCATACTGTGTATATGTTCATGAGTTGTTGAAGGAGGAGTTGCATTCATCTCAAATCATTGTCTTTGATGTATATGTGTGTACTACTAATGACGTTGATTGCTGAACATATGCAAGAAAAATGATTGATCATTCGATAGACTAAGAGAACTCGTTGAATTGATTTCATTACACATTCAGTCATTGTCGTCGTTTTGTTGATAGGATACTTTGACGTTTATCAACACTTATTGATGACCTCTTGTCTCTCATGTTCTCTTCTAATCTTTGAGATCGATTGTCTGAATCGTTTTTAGCACGCATCCTACGCATGTTCACTAGTTTTAAATGATTATTTGACATGCATATGTCTCTGATGTCGTAGATTTGTTTAAAAGATATAAAAATTAATCAAGAGAAAAATCAATTGTTATCATTTATATTATGCGAATCATAATCATTGTTTCTTTTCTTTTTTTTTTATTTTGTACGTTTATGAATTCAAATTCAATCTTATTCATACAATCATATGTGTCCATTTATATGATCGATCTATAAATGTTTTTTAAATAATTTTCACTTTTTAACAATGTTATCCAAAATAAGAACTTCAGTCAAAGATTTTTGTCCAACATGATTTTCATCTATCGTTTCTTTATTAATAATTATCAGATATATAACAGAAATATTATGTAAAATTGAAGATAATTATCTATGTTACATCAATTGTATGCTTCGATTATATTATCATGATCATAGTCAAATATAGATATTATATGGTGAAGATATCCAAATGGTTAATTCATTTCTGAATTTTTCAAATATATATATATCAAAGAATAAATATAATAATTTTTCTAATATTAATCTCGATTAATTTATATTTTTTAAATTGTTAATCTCATGAATCATATTTATTTCGATATGTAATGATGAGAAATGAATTGTTATCAAATATATACGTATGTATATTATTTAGATTATTGCACTGAAGTCTGTTTATACTAATATTTGGTATAGACGAAGACATCTGGATATATCTACCAGATTTATCAGCATCAATTAGTAATGTCGTATAGCTTTTTGATAAAAATAGTATTCATTGATTAAATAGTTTTGATAATAGGGATTTTTGTTTTAATCATTCTATTATTCATTTAGAGACATATTTGAAATTATAGTTTGATTAGAGTTATGAACATTTCGATCTAAGATGTCAGATTAAATATAAAAAATGAAAAATAATGATCGAATTCATCGAGACTACTAAGATTGAGTATGTATAATAGTATGACTTTTACACAAAAAACAAACGATAGCTAACAATTACAAGACAACAATGTCTCGAAAAAAAAAAAAGGATAACAAATGATTATAATCATTTATGTTAACAAATCAAACAATTCATAATGACGATAATGACAAATAGAAGAAGAAGAGGCATGATTAGTTTCTACTACTCGATCACTGATTATCATAGTGTGATGATAGGAATAACTGCTTTGAAGTTGATATTGTTAGTTGAAAAAAATATGAATAAAAGATAGTGAAAATTTGACAAAGTTCTTTTTTTTTTTTTGTTTCTTCTACTTCCTATCAACAACTTTATTTATATATGTAATTGATGCTAAAGAGGCAAAAAAAAAGATTGACAATCGTCTTTCTCGTTTACTCGACTATAAATGAATCATATAAATATATATACATCCGCAATTAACTTTTTTTTTTTGTATTTATTGTTCTATTTAAAAAGTGATCATTGGCCGGCGACGATAAGTGTCAATGAGTTTTTTGCATGCAATGTATGCACAGACAGTTATAAGAATGAATATGAGTGATAGACATCAAATCAATGACTGACGTTCCTTTATTTTTTTTTCTATGATGTCTATAGTATTCGCATGATAGGACATTGAAGAATAGTTGGACGAAGACAAACTAAGAGAGATAGAGAAAAGCAGACTTCCGACGCCTTGAATCATTGTAAGGGCGGAGTAGTAAATGAAAAGAAAGACGGAAAAGAAAAGCAAACTTGATGTTACTATTGTAGAATAAGAAGAGGTAGTGGTAATAGTAGTAGTAGTAGTAGTAGCTTTTGCATCACTTGCCGGAAGTTCCTTCACTCTTCAGCACATTACGCGATTTGAAAAAAAACGACTCTCATCTCCTCTTATTGTCATTTTGAGAAGAATAATGTATAGTTCTTCATCAATGAATAAAGAATAATAGGTAAATGTGAATCATTTATATAAATTAAATTGTATAACTTGAGAAGTTGAAGCCATTTACTTTATGAGAATAAGAAGAGAAAAGAAAAAGACAAGTCGAATTAAAGAAAACTCTACTTCTTCTATTTTTTTTTTGTTCTGCTCTTGAACAAGTTTTTTTTTTTATATATAAATTTTGTTTCATTTATTCTACACCATCTTTCATAACTAGTTTTTGTACAACACAAAACTTTTGACATTGCCCTGAGCAGTATATAATGCTAATTCGTGAATTGGTCAACTACATACACTGATGAAATAACATCATTTTTAGTTTGACACATAGGACATACAAGTCGTTTGTCTGAATTCTTGTAATATTCATCAAATTTCTCTCGCTTGTCGTTACTATGTGTATCCTTACTAACCATGTTATATAAACTTGTTCTCGTCAAAAGAATGAGTACAAACTCATAAATACATGCTATTGATTTTATATTGAACAGGTGAGACATAAGAAATAAAATAGAACGATAAATAGTAAAAGAAAAAAATTTGGACAATAAATAATTCGTGATTAATTTCAGATGTATATACATATATGATAAAATATGGCAAGTATCATCAATGATAAGCGTAATAATATTCAAGAAAACATGGATCAACTAAAATGTTATTTCTAAAAGGTATGATATTTTTATATGAAAATTTCATTTTATATAAATTTTTATATATTTAATTAGTTCTTTTTATTTCAATATCTATTATTAACATCTCATGTTCCATGTATTATTTGACAAATTTTCATCATGATTATCCAGATGCACGTGTAATAAATGCTAATTGTGGTGATACAATATCACTTTCTTGTCGTAGTGAATCAAATACTAATCATGTTCAATTATCATCTACAGTAAGAATTTCTTATTAATAATAAAAATTTTCTATTTCTATTATAATAAAAAAAAAAAAAAGATACCAGCTATGTGGTTTCGTTTATATGAAAATGCTTATCCACAAGCATTAATACTTGGTGATCGTCAATTAATTGATGATCAACGTTTTATGTTACGTACACTAAATAATGATCGTCATCTTGAAATAGTCGGTGCAAGAAAAGATGATCAAGGTTATTATATATGTAAAAGAGGAAATACAATTCGATCAAGTTATAATTTAACAATTACAAGTATGATATTTCATCCGAATGAAAAAAAAAGAAGAGAAGATTTTCATCTAACAATTACTTTTTTTTTTCCTAGCTAACTCATGTATTAATATAATTCCAAATAATTTACATGTAAATATAAATGAAGCAATTCGTCTTGTTTGTCGTATACGTTCCCCGGATGCATTTAATCAACAAAATTTACGTGTACAATGGACACGTAATGATTATCCAATACTAAATATTGCTGAATGTCTTTCGAATTATTCATCTATTGATGATACACTTTATGAAATATTAACTATAAGAAAAGCACGACGAACTGATACTGGGATATATACATGTCGATATGGTCAACTTTTAACTGCAACAGCTCATATTATTGTTAATCAATGTAGGTGTTCCTTTTTTTTTTTTTGTCTTTTTGAATATATATTTCTTTTTTATCTGTTTTTTTTTTCTTCTTTAGATTCTAGTGCTAGTAAATCACGTCGTTTAATATCACATATAACTGGTAACAGTTCATCTTTGAAACCATCTTCACGAACAGTAGTTAGTTTTTTTATATTGTATATCAAATTGTTTTTGTCTTTTTACCGTAAATAAATATGTATATGTATAGACACATAATTTTATTAAGGTAAAATATTTATCATCAAATAATAGAGAAAAAAAAAATGTCTTTTTTCGTAACTCAACATGGTTTTTTCCTTATCAAAAGATATTATCTTAAATATTTTATTATTCAACTGGAGTTGTTTCTCCATCAGGTGATGTTACAGAGATTGATGGTAATATAAAAACTAGAAAAAAAGAAGAATTTCGTATTTAATAAACAAAAAAAAAAAAAAATAAAGGTTTAAAATACATACATTTTTTAGGTTTTGGTTTTTCTTCTTGATTATTGTTTGCAGGCACAAAGAGTTTTGCAACTTGATTGAAAATCATACCTAGATGAAACCGTTTTTTTGCTGTTGTTGATGTTTTCGTTGTCGATCGTGACTCTGACATTTTCTTTTAAATTCTAGTAAATACACGTGGTAAATATTAGATATTATTTATATTTCGTTGCATACATTTTTGCTTTTGCCAACGATCGCACGTGACTCTAGCAAAATGGTTGTTGTAATAGTAATTTTATGCAGTATATATTTATCTTATCGCGTAGTATGGCAATAATCAAGAGAAAGTTTAGGAAGAAAAATAAGCAGTAAACAATCTCTTTTGCATTTACCTTTTTATCCTATCCCATCGTCGTATTTTTTATTCTTTCGCATAAAACGACGTATTATAACTAGCGTTACTAACAAAGGTATAAAAAAAAATTTCTTCTTTATTTACTAATAAAAATAACCAAATGATTAATGATGATTCAATGAAAGAAAAAAATATGTAGTTGTTCACAGAATGAAAAAAAAACTTCAAGATTTTTACACATAATGAATGTCATACTCTTACTATTGATTTATATATTAAACTAGTTTATTGTCAAATGAAATATATATCAATAGATAATGTCAATGTTTATGTTGGAAAAAAACCTATTCCGTATAAAAGATTCTTTATTGATTTTCAATACTAAACTAAGATCAGTCTACGAGTTATGAAAAGAATCATTACAAGAAAACATCAGTTTTTTATTAACACATAATTAAAACATCAAGAAGACATTTATGTTATTTTTTGATAGAAATATAAGAAAAATTTGGAGATTTTATATCCCAAGATTATGTTTCTTTTTTAAAATTAAAAATGATGAATAGTATCAATGTCTTCAACATATTAGAGTCATCAGTATTTCATAATTCTGGCTTTTTTTTTACGAAACCTAATCAAACAAAATCAAAATACTTTTCATTTGTAATTACCTTTATTACAAATATATATATACATCATTCTAATTTATCATCATCATTTGTACAAACGTGTATTCTTATTTCCAAACATAACAATTCGAATAAAAGAAGACAGAAATATAGATAGTTATATTATCAGTTCTATAGCTGATAGCGAACATCTACAAAATTTTCGTATTTATTTTATTTTTAATATACTATTGCAGTGCAATAATGTAGACACTTCTTCATTTTTGTTTTGCTAGAAAGAGCAAAATGTCTAGTGGAAAAAATGTATCAAAGACTTTGATTGAATATGTTTATCAACGGTCAAAAAAATCGTAGAATACAAAATATTGAAAAATTCTTCCAGAACTTCAATCACAATTATTTTTAATCGAAATATATGTATTTGGCTTTTTTTATTATGCGTTTTCAATCTACACATAGTAGATCATTAACATAAAGACTTTCGTGTAATATTAAAATAATTGATCTAGCATATAGTGTCGAAATTGCAAAATTCAAGCAGAATTTTTTTACGTATGGTTATATAGATCTTGAGGAGCTGATCAAGAAGATATATGTGTTTTCATTGTTTTGGAACGAGTCTTTAGGGAGAAATATTCAGTTCTTTTTTCTGATAAAGAGATCAAATTTTTTTCTTTCCTTCAAGTTTCAAGAGTACTTGTTTCAGATCCAGTACAAATAGCAGAATCTAATAAGGTCATTGAAAATAGCTTTCTCAAATTCAGTTTTTTCACGCTGAATTTGAAACAAATACTCTTGAAACTTGAGGAAAAGAAAATAATCTGACAAGTTGACATTTATCGAAAATTGACCTTTTTTTCAAAAAAAAACTAGGTCGTTTGAAAAAATTGAAATTTTCCTCACTAAAAACTCATTCAAAAACAATGAAAACAGATATATTCTTGGTCAGTTTGTCATCCTCTATCTAATCATATTAAAAAAAAATTCTGCTTTAATTTTGCATTTTCAACACCTTACTTAAATGCACAGTTATTTCCATATAATTCTTTTTTTTTGTTGTACGTAGTATGAAAGTATGCAATCATTAAGTAGCAATGATTTGCTGTAATTCTTGCAAAATTAGGAAGGTATTTATCGACAAAGGGATATTCTTTTCAGGTGAAACTTTCAAGATACTGTACCAATCATTCAACCTGTTTATGAGCAAGGTTTCAGATGGAGAGACCTATGGATACGAATCCTTGTAGAATTTTTCTAGTCTTACTGAGACTTTCTTGTGAACCCAATATGAGATCAAACGATGGGCACCACTTCAGGTAGTTCTCTCGTAAGTGTGCACTAAGTGAAACAATGCTACTGTTAAATAATGATTACAAATGATTTCTTTCTATCACCTTATTTCAAAGGATTTCAATTTTTACTTATTTTATTCTACAATTTGATCATCTTTCAATTATAGATTTACAACAAATATCAATAATAGAATCAATTTTCAATTGTTATTTTTTTTCATATTTAGTTGATTTATGTGATCTATTACCTTTATTTTTTAAATCAACAATTTAAGAAAAAACAATGCTAATCCTTTCTTATACTCTTTCAATAACAAAAACAAAATACAGAATAATACATATTTTTATTTTGAAGTAGACATATTTGAACGATTTGAATTATCTAAAATTGCTTTTCTTCCAGCTGCTTTTGGTCTTGCTCGTGTAATCTTAACATTTTCTTTACTATCAATACGATATTGTGCTAAATCTTCTTTATGTTTTTCAATATCTTCATAAATTTCAGCTTTATCATCATCATGAATTTCAGTTCGATATTGTCTCATTATATCCCATTGACGCCATGGTTCACCAAAACGTTCAGCTGCTTTACGTACACTTCGTGGTAATGATGGTAAAAGAATACCTTTTAAATCATGACGCTCCCATTTATATTGCCAATGAGTACTAGTGATTGGTACCTAAAATAATATATGATTAGGTTTTATTTTGTTTTCTTTTTTAATAACTAAAAAAGAAAAAAAAAAACAAAATTCCTACTTGAATTGTATTCAAAGGTACTCCAGCACCAGGTGGTAATTTAACTGGTTCCATATCAAATGGAAATGTACAATATTCAGGTGGTGCATCACGTAAATAAGCAAGATTTTCATCTAAACGTCGTTCAAGTTTAAGAACTTCAATTTTAGTTATTGTTGGATTATATAATTCATAACTAATTTCAACACCTAAAAACAAAAAAAGTAATACTATAGTGACGAATATAACTTAAGAACAATTGTATTTTTGAGAAAAAAACGATCTTTACCAAGGCCATCAACAATATTTCTTAGAGTAAATTGATGTTTAAGTCCATGTCTTTCACGTTGAATACATATACCAACAAATCTATGACGTCGATTAGGTGCATATGGATCAGCTGATGTTACAGCAAGAATACTTCCTTTTGATAAGAATAAATTCAATTTTGTTTTTTTTTTTTTTTTTTTTTTTCAATGAATACTAACCAACATAAAATTCTGGTATATCAATTTGTTGTCGTCGACGAAACATATCTTTTCGTTCGAGTTTTTCAAGTATTCGATCACGTAAATAAGGAATTGGATTTGGTAAAAAGTCAGGATAAACATATCTATAAATAATAATCAAAACAAAATGTTTTTTTTTTTCTCTCTTAAATTTAATTTACTTAAAATCATGTGGTGTAGTACGGAGATCTTTCGTTGTATCATCTTTCGGTGGAAAAGCATCAACAGCTGCACCATTTTTCAATTTACCTAATGCTGATTGTCTATGATGTTCAACAAGATGATCAGCAATATGTCCACGTTGTTTATAACGAACAGATAATATTAAAACTAGAAAATAATAAGATTAAAAAAAAAACAGAGAATATTATTTTTGTTTTTTATGAAAAGTAATATAAATTAACCTGATCTTAATATTTGTTGATTATTTAATAGAAATTTATTAGTAGTAGAAAATGATAATGCCATTCTTTTTTTTTTTTTTTTTTTGTTATATTTTTAAAAATACATCTGAAAACAAAATAGGAAATAAAACAAAGAAATAATCAATCCTATGATTTTTGTGTATAAGAAAAACATCGAACACATAGTTCATTTTCATTTTCTGATATTTGTAAACGACAACGAGGACAAAGATGTAAGGAATTGTATTGAATTTTCATTATATAATTAAATTTATCATCTAAAATTAATTCTAATATTAATATCTTGTTTTTTTTTGTGGATAAATAATTCAATATACCTAATAATGGTAAATCAACGCTTGAAATATTTTCTTCTATTAGATCATTTTCTAAATCAGATAATGATCGTTGATGTACATGTGAACATTGTAAAAGTTCTTCTAATGGATGCCAAAAATCTAATTTAATTGTCTAAATTAAAGAAAATGATTACAATCAAATGACAAATATCTTAAATTTCAAATTTATTCATAATTCTTTATAATACTACTATCTATTTCAAAATCTAATGTGCTCTATTGTTATTGTTTTGAATAACTTTTGATAGAAACATCATAGAGATTTGCGTTTTCATTATTCAACAGAGAAGATTCGAAGCGAGATCAAAATATATCGAAATTTGATTAGTCAGCTATTGACCAATCAGATGAGTTTTTTAGAAACAATATTCTGAAACTATTTCTCTTTTGATTTACGTACGGCCGACACTCCTAGTTTGTTCTGTTCGAGAGTCATAAGCTTTTCCCTAAGACGTCCGATTTCAGCTAATCGACTTGTGATTAGTCGGAAAGGTAGCTAGACGGAGATAATTCAGTATGCTGAGTCGAATAGTGATATTTTTTTAAGTTCGAAATGATCTGGCTCTGCTATCTCAATATTTCTAAAGTTCTACGATCAGCCTTTATGTAAGGAAAGGAATCAATGTTTCAAAAATATTGAGATGATAGTGTCAGATCAGTTCAAATTTAAAAAAATATCATCTTTCAACTTAGCACGATGAATTACTTCCATCTAGCTGCTTTTCTAGGATGAAAAGTGATTAGAATAAAATATCAATGTCTCTAAGATATCCATAGTATAGACAGATTGATCAAACATACTCTCATTTGATCACTCTAGTGACCATCGGAGGGAGAACGACTTAATCACAATTCTATCTGAGGTTTTCCGTAAATCAGATGTAATTTGACGATGTCTAATTTTGTTGAAAATGATTTTTTTCTATTAAACGGATTGATTTTGTAATTCATCTTTTTCGAAGATGGAACAAGAAAAAACATGTTTCTAAAGTTTTTTTAATTCCATGTTTATTTTCTGTAGCATATAAGATAGAAATACGAAAATAGGAAATGATGAATGTCATTATTTCTTATGCACTCGTTAACAAAAAGAAAAATCCATTTCTTTAAAAATAAAACTTACTGATGGATGTTTTTCAAGTACATCTTGAACTTGTTTAAGCTATTAAAATCAAAAAAACAATTGAATATAATTTTAAACTTTTTCTTTTTTTGTCAGTAATTTTAACCTGTAGTTTTGCTTTATCACTTAAATAAAGTACAATATCATATAGAATAGCTCGTCGATTTTGAAGAATTCCATGATATGTATTACGTAAATGTAATATAATTGACATTGTCGATGTAAGTTCTGAAGAAATTTCAGTTAATTGTTTATCCAAAAATGTAAATTTATTTTCAAATATATCATTTATTTTTTTTTCTTTATTTTCTAAAAGATAAAAAATAAAATAAAAATTTTTTGACAAAAATATTCTTTCATTCATACCTATTAAATATAATTCATTATATAATTCTTGTGCAAGATATGGCATTACTGGTGCTAATCGTTCATTAAGATATTTTAATAATAAATAAAAAACTGTTTGTGTTGATCGACGAAGATAAGAATTCGATGGATTACAATAAAGTCTAATTTAACAAAAAAACTTTTGTCAGCGCAGCAGCTTCTTTGGAGTTCATAGGAATTTTTGTGTCTCATTATACTAATACAAAATATGTAGAATGACGCCTTTTTTTTTTTCGTTGCTAAGAGAGTCTGATGGCAGTTTCGAAAAACATATATGTGAATTCAACAAAATAAATTTACCTACCGATCTTTTGTTACTGAACAATAAAAACTTGATATATCACCTTGAATAAAATCTTCAATAGCAATTAAACCATGATACATTCTATATTGATCAAAATCATTATGATACTAAAAAATAGATAAATTTTAAATTTCAAATAAAAAATTATATCGACATACTGTCGTAAGAGTTTGATATAAACGATATGCTATATAACGATCAATAGCAGTTAAATTTTCATTTGATATTGTATGTTTATCAGGTTTAAAATCATATAAATTTCCAAGTAAAAATCTTAATATATTTCTTATCTAAATAAATTTTTTTGTTTTCTGAAGAAAAGAAAGATATATATAAAATTTAATTTATCTTACATCAAAAACTCGTTGATATGATTTAGTTAAATCTTCTCCACTTGCTTTACATTGAGGTTTATAACTTTCTCTTGTAACCCATTCTCGACAAACATCAAGACCATTTTCATGAAATTTTTCTTTTCCACCACCAAATATCATATCCGATGGTTGAATAACATTTCCAATTGATTTTGACATTTTTTTGATTATTTTTATCAACAACAAAACCATGAACAAATATATTTGAAAATGGTGCTCGCATTTGTATTCCAGTTGATAATAATAATGATGATAGAAACCAACCATTAAATTGATCATGTCCTTCACAATATATATCAGCTTGATAATTAAAATCTTTAAAAAAAAGAACATAAGACCAAAACCAATTTTTCTTTCTTTATAAGGATTTTGCCGACTTTGGTGACCTATTTTGAAGCAGGATACTCTATATGTAGTTTTTTAGAGCAATTTACGACAAATCGAGTGATATATAAGAAATCGAATTTTGATGTGCTGAGAGAATTTGATGCAAAAATCATACCTGAATACTCGGAATAAAAATAGTAGTTCTCCTTTCTGCAATCATAGTCCTGCACTCCTCTTCAAAGGTCTGATAGCCAAAAAAAATGTTTTTTTCTATTTACAAAGGACTTATTTATGTCAGTTCATCAGGACTGTTGTACTGATATTGGTACATAAAAATGTTTAATAGGACTGTCGACTATTGTTAAAATATTGTCAATATACAGGCTTCTACATAGAGAAAAATACACTATTCTAATGGAGGATCTTGCAAGTTGACAACGAGTCCCTACTGTTCCAAAAGATGTTATGTTTAAAACATAGTATGTAATTTTTGAGAAAGTTTCTTGTTCTAGAGTACAGAGTTGAACACGCTGAAATATCACATAGTCAAGAAATAAACTACGCCTAAGAAAAGGAACTATTTTTAAGTATGAAGAAAATAACAATGAAAGCTATTGATTATAGAAAATCGAAGCGGCACCTATAACTGTATCGCATTAAGTTTATCTGAGGAATTATAAATGTCTATGAGTACCATATATATCTGTCAAGAATTACAACCAGTATATACACTCTCAGCACATCAAAATTTGATTTCTTATACACTATTCAGTGTGCCGTAAATTGCTCTATAAAGCCACATATATAGCATCTTACTTTAAGATAGTTCAACAAATTCGGCAAAGTCTTTTATGTAATTTCATGTTATACCTTTAAGAATTGTATTAAATGATGAACCACTATCAAACCAAACATCAAATATATCTTTTCCACGTTCAAGATTGTCAGCTTGATTATGCATTGATATAGGTAATAATTCTTTAATATCATTTGATGACCACCAAAAATCAATTGAATTTTTTTCTTGAACACATTTTATTAAATGTTCAATAATATCTTCATTAATCACAAGTTCTTTTCTATCATTTTTTGTATAAAAAACTGGTATTGGTACACCCCAATAACGTTGTCGTGATATACACCAATATGGACGTTGTGAAGTCATTGATAAAAAACTTTTTCCAGCACCTTCAGGAAATATTTTTACATCTTCTAATATATATTTACGTGCATTATCACGTAAACGTGTTGTATCAATAAACCATTGTTGACTACCTAAGATTAAAACAGGTTTTTTTGCTCGCCAATCATATGGATATGAATGTATTAATTCATAATGATGTAAAATATCAGAATTTAAATATTTAAGAATTCCTTCAATACCATCATTTTTATCTAATGCATTACGACCATGAAGAGATTCAATTGATGGACAATTTAAATGACCAGTTAAATTAACAGCATTAATACATTGAAGATTATGTTTTATTGATAGAAGAAAATCATCAGAACCATGTGCTGGTGCAATATGAACAAGACCAGTACCGATTTCATCAGTAACATGATCACTAGTAATAATAGGATAATTTATTTGATCATTATAAATTGGATGTTTATAGGTAAGACCGGATAATTGAGATCCTGAACAAATGAAAATTTATTTTCAAAGATAAAATTATTTTTTTTTCTTCTTTACCAAGACAATTTCCTATGATTTCAAATTGATTATTAGAAAATGGTGAAAATTTTTTTATATTATTTAATAATGCTTCAGCAACAATATATATATCGTTTGTCGAGGAAAGTTTTAGAAATAGATATTTTAATTTTTCATTAACAGCTACAGCTTGATTACCAACTAAAGACCAAGGTGTTGTTGTCCAAATTAAAGCATAAATATTTCCTAGATTAGTTTCTTAAAACAAAGAAGAATATTAAGAAATATTTGAAATAAAATTTCTTACGAGACAAAAGTTTTGATATCAAATCATTGTTTTGTAAACGAAATCGTACATAAATAGCAGTACTAAAAATTGAACAAAATATAAAATCTTTGATGTCACCGAATAACAAAAAACAAATCATGTCTAGGTACATGGTTCATTAAAATGTAATAGAATCTATTGAACCTTTTAAGAATTTAACAAAGATCTAAGAATATAGGTAAACAAAAGTGAAATCAAGCTTACGAGTAGAACCCGTCGGTTGGTTCCAGACTCGGATCTGCGTCCGAACGTTTTCGATCTGATGAGCTCCAGTTGTCTGAAAAGTGTGTAGGTTGTGGTAGTCACCGAATACAAAAAGTCGGCAAAAAAGTGTTTCATATCTTCGGGACGACTATCCAATTTGGATTGGAAAATTTCATTGAGAATATCGAAGTATGGTTCGATTGGATCTGGGTTCGAAAACTTTAGATCCAACGGGCTCTACTTACAAAAGAAATTTCCTAACTAATTAATCGCTTTTGAGTAGAAACGATATACATCATGTAGCCACTGGTGAACTATGGACACTCTGAAAAGAATAAGTTTCAGATCTTTTTGTTGTTTCAATCCTAAAATACGGTTATCGTAAAAGCGTGTCTTTAACGTCGCTTATCTACACAAATACATTCTATGCTCGTCTTTCAGAATAGAAGCAAAACAAATGGCCTGAGTCTTCACAACAAACCATTCTCATCAAAGCTTGTCTCTATGCAAAATTTCAAGTCGAAATTCGAAAATAATTTTTCCTTGTACTCGTGTGGAGGACCACGACGTTGTATTCGAAAATGTCGTAAAAGTTCAGTATCCTCGTAGAAATAAGCTAAAGGACTGAACTCTTTTCAGAACACTCATAGCTTATTACAATCTGCATGACGTGTAAAGTCTCCACTGAAAAGTGATTAATCAATCGGTGAACTCTCTTTGTTAGTTCTCATCTCGTCTGTATCTAGATTTAATAGACTCTACTAATATACACAGATTTTTATTAATACGACGACTTATTTTTATGTATTATTTTCTGTTTATACATTTCTTCTTTTGTATTGTCTTTCTTTAATATATTTAAGTTTTAATAATTACTAAGAATTATATTTTAATTTATAATTTGAAACAATATTAGAAATGTATTTCTAAATACCTTTTATGTTTATCATTATATTCTAATTCAGATTCAGCCAAAGCAGATTGAACAGTTGGTGACCAATTGACTGGTTTATATTGTCGATAGAGTAAACCCTTTCCAAAAACAATATACTCAACAATAAAATTTAAAAAAATATTATATAATTAATTACTTTCTGATATAATCTCCAAAATAATCTAATTTGATCAATAATATAATCTTTATCAAATGTTCTATAATAATTATTCCAATCAGCTAATATACCCCAAGATTGAAATTCCGTTTTTTGTTTTTCTAATGCTTCTGTAGCAAATTGACGAGCTGTTGAAATAGAAAAATAAAATTATTGAAAAATTTTTATAAAACTACAAAAGAAATGAAAATAAATTTTACCAAGTTTACGAACAACAATTGGATCTTTATCATTTGAATTGCTTTTATTTTCTTGTAATGCTTTTAATTCAATTGGTAAACCATGACAATCCCAACCAGGACGAAAATCTATTCGATTTCCATTTAACAATTTATAACGAACAATAATATCCTTTTGAATCTATCCAACAAGAAATCGTACAAATGAAAAACAAAAAAAACAAATGATTGATTTCTAACTTTATTTAGAAAATGTCCGATATGAAGAGGTCCATTAGCAAATGGTGGTCCATCATGAAGAACAAATAATGGACGACATATCTGTTTTAATTGCCATTCCCATAATTGATTAACAGGATATTTCTAAAAATGATATCATTTAGGAACAAGAAAACATTTGAATTTTTCGAATAGAAAGATTTTAAAAGTAGATATCATTTTTTAGAAGATTTCTAGTATCATATTTTGAATATGACAAGATTCAAATAAAACTAATTAACAAACCTGCCTGATATCATTTTCACATTTAATTCGATTTTTCATTGTACTCGCAAATTTACTTTTCGGCATATTGAGTGTATCTTTGTATGATATACTTTTACTTGATACATATCGTAAATTTCTATTGAAAATTTTTTGATAACCAAATAAAATTCTCATCTAGTATACATAGAGAACAACATATATAATAGATATATTTTTATATAAGAATGATATGAGACAATAAGTAAAATAAACACACACACATATATATATATATAAAGAGACAAAAATTATATTTAAAAAAGCATAATATCCATCTATAATGAAGGATATTTAAAATCATTTTGTTTGTTTTTTCTCTTAAACAAATGACTAGTTGACATTTGGTTTAGTTATGAGTAAGCATTCAAATAAATACAATTAAATAAGTTTTTTTTTTTTTCTTTTTGTTTAATTATTTTTTGGTTTGCTTGCACGTTCAGCTTCATCAATAGCAGCCATATCAAGTGAAGCTGTATAAAGATGAATTAAACTGATGATTTGTTTTGCGATCATAATTGGTGTAACAATATAAAGAATTAAACGCCAAAGGCCCATTGCATAACTACCATACGTAATAACTAAAATTTAAAATAAATAAATAAATTACAAAAATCTTTTTCTTTTTTTATTTTAATTTTTACCTGCTGGACCTTCACCAAAATGAAGCATATAAATCATTGAAAACCAAAGTTCATTTCCTGCACACATTGTAAAAAGAACTTTCTATAAAAAACAAAACCATTTAATTAATAGATAATTTCAATAATTATTCTTACACGTGATGTATAATAAAGACGAAGAATAGGATTGCCTGAAAGATCGATTTTCTTATGACTTTCTGAACCTTTAACTGTAGCTCTAGAATAATTCAAATGATGATTAAAAGACGAAAAAAAAACATACAAGATATAAATATATATATTTACGCATGTAAATGAAGCCAATGACTAGCAACATCAATTGCAGCCCAAAGTTGAAAGAAAAGTGCCCATTTTGGATAGAACATTGCCAAAACAAAACATAAACACATTGTTGAACATCGATCAACTAGCATATCAAACATTGCTCCAAATTTAGTACCTAAATTATTACTTAGAGGTTGTTTTTTTTTTGATTAATAGAAAAACAAAATTTACTTTGTCCAAGTGCACGAGCAGCATGTCCATCAAGTGCATCAAGAAATTCGCTTGTTAAATAACAAAATATTGTTATTTTTGGATGCGACGGCATAAAATAAAATGAAACAATTGATAAAAAAACTCGTACATAGCCTACAAAAAGAAAAAAATTTTTATAATAAAAATTCTTAAATTAATATTTTCTTCTTACCAATAATATTTGGTATAAATAAAAATATATTATTTGTTTTAAGTAAAGCCTCAAATGAATTAATTGTTTGTGTTTCTGCTGAAACTTTTTTTATTGTTGGATTTATATTACTTGCCATTTATTTTTTTTTTCTGTTTTAAAAAATATCTGAAATAAAAATAAAGATTAATTATAGATTTATCTCTTCAAATAAATCAATAGATTGATGTTTTAAAACCTAGAAAAATAAAAAAAAAAAAAAGAATTTATTATACAAAAAGGAAACGAAGCATTTTTACTTCATTTCCTATCGATGTAAAATTTGGTAATAAGTTTCTAGCATATAATTCTAAACAATTGTCTATTTCATTATTTGGAAAATTTATTAAATTTTGAAACAATAAATGTAATGCAGGTTTTGTTGAATGAATCAATGCAGGAATCTAAAAAAAAACATAAATCATAACGAGACGACCTTTGATTGTATATCAACAATGTCTATCACGGTGGGTGGTGGTCTCTGCCGAGCATCTCATGGTGGACATTAGATGAAAAAATAAAAGTAATGTTTTTTTTTGTGATTTGGATAATGTTTAATATACTTTGGTGTGAATGGCTGACTTTTCGGCTTAAAAAAACTTTCTTTGGAAAAAGTATGCATCATACTTTCTCAACTAAGGACTTTCTAAAAAGATATGTTCAATGTAATTGATGCGCACACTTTAGCACAGGTATTAGTAAAATATATTCCAATCTCCGCTTAATTCAAAGATATTATCAATTGATAGAGCTTAAAATTCTCGACTCAGAAGACTCCACTCTAAGTCATTTTCTTTTAAAAAACTCCGAACAAAAAAATCAAATATCATTTCGAGCAGTCCACTCCAATCTACTGTGTTCCATTCTCATTTACAATGTAAAAATTTATGTTATCAGTTAATAAGATTAGATATATTCGGATCAAATTAAAGCTCTCACCGTTAAACTAATAAATTCAAAATATGAGCTACTGTTGGCGTGTAGAGACGGTGATATTCGAATATTAATATTTATAGTCTATATAAGGTGTCTGTAATTCAAAATTTGAGTACAGCCCATTTTTGTTTTTTTCGTGATCGTGGGAACATCAACAAATGGTTTAGAATGAGGTCTCCTGAATCGAGAATTGTAAGTTCTATCGAATGATAATATCTTCGAGTTAAACAGAGGTTGGAGTGAGTTAGAGCGTATTTTACTAATACTCGAAAAATAAGGACATATTTTGAATTAGTACGAAAAACTGTATCGAATAATGTGTTATTTGTTAATTTTTAAAATAGAAATTTTTGCTGACAAAAGTTTAGGGTAAGGATCTCGTCTCAAGGCTGTTGGGTAGAAAATTTTTGCACTCGGTCAAACCGCACTTTGATACGCTCAATGAAATTTTCTAATCCGAATTGAATAGTTACCCCAAAGATACAAGATACTTTTTTTCCGATTCTTTGTATTTGGTGATTAGTGCACCCTACATATTTCTCAGACTACTCTAGAACCTATCGTGCGTCTGTCACGATCTGTGAGTGACTCAAACTCCAACACTCCATTAAGATCGTGTTTCACAAAATAAGAAAATGAATTAAATTCAATACACTGCATAGAATTTTTGTTGTATCTTTTAATGAATTAAATTTATCATCATTTCCTGTATAACCAAGTATCAATGTTTCATAAGATTTTTTATCTATTGATGTTAAATCAAGTATTGGTTCACCGGATCTCGTTATCTAAAGAAATATATTAATGGATTTATTCAGTTTTTTTTCTTAAACATACTTTTAACCAATACCATGTTGTTAAATATTGACAATTCCATTTATTAAATAAATCATTTTTAATAAATTCTTCAATTCTATCACAATTTGTTGACCAACAACAAATTAATGATGATCGTGTACGATCAATTAAATGTTCAATAGGTAAATTTTTAATATCATTAAAATCTGACCAATTATATGGACGTTTTCGTCGTACACTTTTATTCATCCATGGTGGATCCAATACAATAAATGAATATTTTGTTCCTTCTTTTAAAAGAAAATATTTTATGTGGATTTTATTTAAAAATATTTTACTCACCACTTACAAGTAATGTCGAATTTTTTATATCTGACCATAAAAATCGACATTGTTCTGGTAATATAATTTGTCCTGCAAAAGCAGTATCAATTATACTTGGATGATTTTTATTATGAGAATAAAGAATATTTGTTTGTATGCCTAATTTTGATGCACGAAGAAAATAATCTATAAAATTTATTTATTAAAATAAATGTTTTTTTTTTTTGTCTTTTTGTATCTTTTACCTGTTAAATTAATTTGTCGAATTGATGGAATATTATTACATTGTTGTGTAGCAATTTCAGCAAATGGTATACTATTAAATGTATGTTCAGTTTGAATTAATAAATCATCATTATTTAATAATAATTTACTTTTACAAAAATTCACTGCTTCATTAAGCTATTAATGAAAATTATTATTAAAAAAACAAAAAAAAGAAATTTTTCTATAGAAATTAATTTACTTTTAATATTAAATCCTCTTGATTTTCATTAAATGCTTCATCATAACTTCGTTTCTAAATAAAGTTGATTATAGTCGAAATATTTGTATTGTAAACATAAAGAATAGAAGAATGTGCAAGATATTTATATTCAAATCATGTTATCCTTCCGAAATTAAATAATAGATAAATATGCTATACAAACAACTTTTTATCATAAGTAGCATAATTCAAAAAAAAAAAAAAAGAAAAATTTCCTTATCATTTTCTCATGACTCCGACATGAAAGAAATAATGACTTGATTATAGAAGCATGATTTGAGTCCCAACTCGACTGATTCTATCACCGGAGTTGGATTGTAAACTCTTCTTCAAAAAAAAAACAATGTTATTTTTTTTCTTAGCTTCAATTGGAATACTCTCCTATTATAATAGGTGATAGAAAAGTAATTAGAGAAAATGTTTATGCCTACAGAAATTTAATTTTGTATTCTTTCCGAATATACGTTCAAAAATTTGATAGACCTTCTCGTTTAGAAGTTCGTAAATTAAGTTTGAACGAACTTCAGCACGTCAAAAATGACATACTAATGATTAATTTACTGCAAGTCATTTGTCAACAGATAGTATTCCCGATAAAGAAGAACTTGCTTATTTAGATAATGTTCTCAATAGATTTGAAAAGTGAGCTCGATCATTCATTCTAAGACTATATTCTCAGCTGAAACTTTTAAGACTGTTACTATCAATCGTGAACACTTTTTCTTTCATTGCTATTTCTCGTATCAGTAAATTCATAAACATATATTGTTACTACACACAACAAATGTCTATATCAATAGTTTTAAAAGTAATGTTCTTTCTAATAGTTGTATGGCGTTTTGTCTATTATTCATCATCATTTTTGTTCACATATATGAAAATATGGATGTGGGCATGAGTGTTCTTCTCTTCACTCACACCCTCCACTACTTAGGAGAGGGAGAATAAAGTGAACCCATTTTAAACTTTATTGCTTCAGCTAAAGAATTGAATATGCAACGCCTATAGTATCCTAGGAAAGTATTGTAAGCATCATATCCGAAAAAGTAAATTATATCAATATTTTATGAAATCTATTGGAAATTTATGTATTTTAAGATAAAATATTCATCAGATACATGATCATCTATGAAATTGAACTTTAGATATGTTGACAATCATACTATATATTTGATGTTTGACTTATTAATATATTACTCTTTAAAATATGATCTTATTTGGTTTCTCTTAGAAAGAAAATAATTGGTTGTCGATAAAAAAAATTGCAAACGGAACTTCGCTTTTATATATAGCCAATCTATGCCTTCAAAGGATTGAAAATATTAACTATCCACAATAGAAAATTTCCGGAAAAAAATGCCAAAAAAATTTACCCTGCTTCCCTTTCCTAATCATATGCACTGGATCTAATTAATCCTAGCGATCAGAATTCAACATGCTTTAAGAGTTTAGGTAGGTTTAATCTGGTAACGAAACTTTTTTTTCTTGCGACTAATTTTATTTAATAAGATTCAAACTTTCAGATTTTTCTTTCTATAAATTAATTGCATCTAGAAATCTGAAGTTTTTTTTGTTTACAAAAAAAAATCATCTTACCATATTTTTCTTCTTCTTCTTCTTCTTCTTTTTTATTTGCTCCGTATTTATTGTCATTCGAAATGGTCGTTCAACATAAAATAAATCTTTTCTCCATGTTAAATTTTTTCTACTATCTACTATTGTAAAATTTCTCCAATCTTTTGTATGTGCATAAATATGACTCAAATATATATGTTGATCAAGAATGACAAGTTGTTTGTCGTCGTGGCAATGAATCATTGACATTTAAAAATCTATGAAATAATCTAAAGAAGAATATGTGATGTGGCAATATTTAAATTAAAGAAAAACAAATGTATTATTTTTTTTTCGTCTTAATCATCATCATCATCATCATCATCATGTTTGTTTTTCTTTTGAAATGAGACAAAAGAAGATACAAAGTAACCAAAAAAAAAAAGAAATTTATTGCTGTACAGCAAAATGTTTTTTAAACACAGTTTAATATTTCCTTCATCTTGTCAAAATCTTTTTTTTTTTCTTTTCTCCAAAGGCATTTATCTTTCAAATAAACACAATGACTAAACAATAAAGAGAAACAATCTAGCAAATTGACAAAAGAAAAAAGAAAGAAAAACATATTCATATGTCTAGCTAGAAGAAGATAAAGGGGATAGAACTAAACACACGCAAGTTTGTTTTTTGTTTTATTAAATTTTTTTTTCTTCTAATATAAGTAATTGAAATATATGTTCAAGAAAACTAATAAATTCCACTGACTAAATTTCAAGATAAAAGTCAGAGAATTGACTTTGACAAAACAAAAAAAAAAGATGCGTAACGAGAATAAAGAAATCAACATATACAAAAAAAAAAACCAAGAAGAAGGAAAGCAAAACTGAATGTATCTAGAATATCCATTTTCTTTTTTTTTTTTTTTTTTGTTTTTGTTCATTTACGTGGTCGTAATTTTCGTAAATATTCTCCACTTGATTCAGGTGTTTTTGATGTTGGTGTTTTTCTATTTCCACTTGTTCGTGTTTTTTTAGGTGGTGTTTGAATAGTATCACTTTCATTTGTAGTTGTTGTTGTTGTTGTTGTTTCATTTCCTTTTCGAATATCAACATCCATTTGTTCATAATCATCATCATCATCATCATCATTTGTTGATTTTTTACCTTTTGGTGTTGATTTTTTC